CCTCCGCAACAAGCCTCACTCGGCGGCGAGCGAGGGGGGGAGTGAGATGGAGAAGGCCTTAACAGATGTCGGCGGGGCTTCTCAGAAGCCCTCGGGCCTTCTGAGGAGTTCGTTGTGCGTCTTCGAGGAGGGCGCAGAAAACTTCTCAGAAGGCTGGGGGGGCTTCCGAGCCCTCCGAGAAGGCCTCCTTCTCGTTTCCCCCCCTCGCTCGCCGCCGAAGTTTGTGCTTGCGGCCTCGACGCCGAACTTGGACCATTCTGGTCTGAGGAGGGGCCAGCTATTTTTCCCGAGCCTTCCCTTAGATCTAGGTCGGGGGACCAAGTCTTCGATGCCACATCATGGGAGCCTGGTATACCCTCTCAATTCCGTCATTAGCGTCGATCAGCGTCTGAAGTCGATGAGATAGTGCCAATGTAGCGTCGACTAGCGTCGATTCGAAAGAGCCGACAAGATGGTATGGGAGGCCCTCATGAGTTGCCACCGAAAAATGAGGACCATTCTGGGCTGAGGGGGGGCTCGTTGTGGTTCTCGAGCCTTCAGGTCGGGGGACCTGTTCGAAGCCGAGACTCGCCGTGGCCACGAGAACCCACTAGTTCCTTATGCAGCGTCCCTGGTGCTAGCACGATTGCCGTACTCACGCTCGTGTCTGCTCTTCTAGCATCGTCGCCGACGCCGGCCGGACGATAGTCATCCAGAAGTCCCTGAGCACCACCGTCATCAACTCGACCTCCATGACCCTCGCGATCTGCCTCTGCGGTCTGGTCGCCAGGGGGTGGGATCCAAATGGACCCTCGCGTTCTGCCTGTGGGCGCGGTTCAAAACCGCGGCTTCTGCCGTTACCGGATCGGGGTGCATGCGGGGAAGTTTAGCGACAACGTCATGGGGGGATTGGCTCAGGAGGGGATGCATCGACCCCCGACCGCGCATTCATCGCCGATAGAGGCCCGATCGTCAATCTTTCGGCGATGTATCGTCGATTCATGCTCGATGTTCCCCCACCTGAGCCAGTTCCCCCCGAAGGTTCCCCTTCGAGAGCGAGCGAGGGTAGACAGGGGGAGGAAGGAGATGGGCAGAAGCCAAGCTAGTTAAGTGCGCTCGCTCGTTCTCATGATCTGGCATCCCACCCCAGACCCTCCCCCACTTTGCTGAGCTCTTTACTGCCCAGCGGCATGGTACATGCGCTGTCGTGGTGGATCGTGATCCCCATATGACGACTTCGTGCGATTTGCAATCAGCTCCGGCGGCCTTGAACGTTGGAGGAGGGGGTGGCGGAAGAGCAGGAGGATAGGCAGGAAGAAGAGGAGTACGGGGAGGAGAATCACAACCCGCAGGGGACACCCATCAGCAACACTGAGTGGCACTACCCGCCGAGATCGAGGTCGAACCAGACGTCGGCAGGACTCACCACCATTACTCCCGCCAGGATCGCCCCAGTCGAGGCCTTTGCGGTCCGGCGGGCCCTCGCACCCCCCTTCCCCCCCCCCCCCCCGTGGAGCAGATCTTGGCTACTTTGGGCGCCTGTTTCACGCAGGGGGAGTCTCCCCCATAGGACGCACGGTCGCAAAGAGTCGCATTAAGCAGATGTCCGGAGCCAGACCCTCCCCCCTCCGCCCAATGTCGAAACGCCGATTAAGAAAACGTCCACGTGCAGGAACTGCACGCCCACTACGAGCCTCCGCAGCCCAATCTGCCCAGCGCCACCCGAGCACAGAGGATGGAAGCCAGACAGTTTGGCAGCGCGGCTGCGGGAGCCTGGGCACCCGCCCCGGCCTGCGATTTCACCCAGCGCACCAATTCGTATGCCCTCACCCGGGGACCGTCTACACCGAATCCAACCCGAAGCTATTCAGCCAGGTCTACTACCTCAACATCGAGACCCTCACGCCATCCCCTGGACGGCCCCAGCAACTACCTACTCATGCACGGCTGAAAGAGGGGCGTCTCGATGACCAACGACGAGTTCGACCTCAACGAGCAGGGGATCACCGTCCAAAACCCGCTGGTTGCGCCACCACGTTCCAGGTACACGCCACCACCTTCGAAACCAAGGACGGCATCACCTACTTGCTTGCCCAGTATACGACATCCTTGCCAGAAACGACCAGATGGCCAAGTGCAACCATAATGGCTTCCTCTACAAAAGACGCGCAGACGCCTTCAAAATCAACGTCATGGGAATGACCACGGACGAGCGGTTGAACGACTTGGCGGGGAACCTTGAGCCCGAGGCCTACATCCAAGATCTCATGAAGTAGCTCCAAGAGTTTCTGCACCCGGAAGGCACCGTGAGGACCATCGTAGAGATCCAGAGGGCGAGCCCACCTACAGCGTCAGACGATTCCGACACCAATCGAGTCCAGCACCCATCGACAACACCGATTGAATCAACAACCAACGGCTCAGAGGCGAATGCCACCCTCATGCCGAGACGGGACTCGCCGCACAGAGCGTCACTACTCCTTCCCAACGTCCCCATCTTGCTACTAGCTCTCAAGGATTTCAGCAGATTTTTTGTTACCCGTCAGCGCAACACGCTCCTCCGACGTGCCGCATGCATTACGGCGTCTACATCGGCCCGAAAACTCACGGTGCCGTTCCCACCCACGCAGAGTGTGCAGCCGATGCATCACGAAAATACAAACCACAGTTAACGCATGGGGGTGAACAACATATTTCCAGGACCGGTGGATGGAGCTCTCTCATGCACCTCTTTTGTGGTGGCCTTGGTCAGCAGCGTCGAGCTGGGCCCTGCGGGCGACATCACGAAGAACCGAATTTCCATACACTCTGAGAGAGCCCTCACCCAACCGTCACTTCATCCTGGCTCCACCTCCGCCTGTGTGCCCCGTTCCCCCTGCCTCTCGCTCACCTGACCTACTGTTTTCCCACGCGTGTGGCGGCAGAACGGGCGAGGTGGATCATGGCAGGGGGGGAGCGGCCGGCCGCCCCAGCAGGGACTCGGGCGGCCGCGCCGCAGCGCCACTGCCGCCAAGCCCGCGCGGGCCAGACCCAGGCAGCCCAGCCGCCTTTCTCAGCGCCGCCTGTTTGATCTCGCACCTGGTCCGACACCCTAACAGGCCCCCAGTTCGGCCTTGGGTACCCTTCGCCTGCCGCGGCGGGTGAGGGTACCAGAGTGCGAAGTGGGGGTCGCCTCGTTGGTCATCCCGATGGGAGGTGGGAGGGGCCCGCCGCTCACTGTCGGCAGCCTTTTTTGTGCTCTTGCGTCCACACCCCTCAACTGAAAAGCCTGCCGCGCTGCGCTCAGTTCCGCGATGTGAGACAGCCACGCTCGGCTACCCCTGTCTCGGACCTATCGCTCGCAACAGCAACTCCCTTCCAACGCTCGAGGGACGCGCGGGCGAGTCGGGAAGGCCACGAGTTGTCGCTTCGGCCCCACTGGCGTTGGCCAGAGTGGCCGTGCCAAGACCGCGGGTAGCTACGCAGGCAGCGCGCTTTCATACATATCCTACCCAGCTCCTCCCCAGGCTTCGGCTCATCGTTTCCACTCCCGCGCCTCGACAGCGTTGCATCTCCGCGCCACTTCAACCGCCACAAAGGGATTGGGTGGCGATGTTGTGCATGGGCGGGGGGAATGAGCCATCGCCACAGGGGGCGCAAACTTCCCCACGCCAGGTGGAAAACCCAGCGCCGCCCCCACCTTCTCCTTGGGTGCCCTTCGCCCACCCCGGTCGGTGAGGGTCCCCTTGGTGTTACTGGGAGGAGGAGGAGGAGGAGGAGGAGGAGGAGGAGGAGGAGGAGGAGGAGGAGGGAGGGAGAGGAGGAGGAGGAGGAGGAGGAGGAGGAGGAGGAGGAGGAGGGGAAGTGGTATATGCGGGAGGTCCTGCTGGCAGGGTCAGGCCCTTGCGCCACCCCACTGGGGCGAGAGTGGCCACGGCCGCGCTACCACCTTCGATGGCACAGCTGCTGACGCCATCACCACGCTCAAACCCTGAACGCCGTTGCTCCCCCCTCCCCCTTGCTCACCACGCTCCAACCCTGCACGCCGTTGCTCCCCCCTCCCCCGGTGCCCCTCCCCTTCACATCAAGTGCCTTTCCACTCCTCTTCTCTCCCCCCTGAGGGTACTGAGGGACATGGTTGCCACGCCTCTGGGAGGTGAGTCGGTCACACTGCCTTTCCGTGCAGTGATGAACACCCCGGGGGTGACCTTTTTTGGGGTGGGGGTGGATGGCGATTCTATTGCGGATGCAATGCCATGAAAGGAGGAGGAGGAGTAGGAGGAGGAGAAAGAGGAGGAGGAGGAGGAGGAGGAGGAGGAGAAGGATGATAAATAATAGCATCAGGAGCAGGAGGAGTAGGTGGAAGTTGACGGGACGCGGCAATGGAGAGGAGTACATCGGATCCAGAAGTGTGGTTCGCGGCGGGGCGAGAGCGCCGGTCTGAACGACTGTGGCATTGCGCTGATCTGAAATGTGCTAACGCTCCAGTGGGGACACCAGTTGCAATGGGCCGAGGCCGTCGTGGTCGTGCAAAACGCATCGACCGTCGACTCCGTAATGGAGCCCTGTGTGCGAAAGATGCGGGGGAGAGACAGTGGAGAGAACAGAGTCGTGCTCACACTGGGTCGCTCGTTGTATAGGCGGCAGTGAGGAGGAGGAGGAAGAGGAGGAGGAGGGGGATGATGAGGAGGAGGAGGAGGAGGAGGAGGAGGAGGAGGTGAGGAGGAGGGGGAGGAGGAGGAGGAGGAGCGGAGGCGCGAGAGGGAGGGGCAGAGGGGGTGGCACGTGGAGGAGAAGCGCGGCAGGAGGGACGGTGAGAACGACGTGAGGCGCGGAGGAAGAGGAAGGATAGAAGGAGGAGGAGGAAGAGGAGGATGAGGAGGAGGAGGAGGAGGAGGAGGAGGAGGGTTATTTTATACCTTGAGGCGTCTCGCACTGACAGGACGCAGCATGCATAACACTGAACGTCCGCTCGACGCAAACGATGAGGTTGAGGAGGGCGAGGAGGAGGGAGGGAGGAGAGCCGCAGTCTTCGATGTGGGTTCCTCCTCCTTCTCCCCGTCTCCCTTCTCGCCCCATCCCCCCCTGCGCATGCGCTCCGCAGCGATCCCTCCGCCCATGCGCGCGGCGCCGCGCGCGTGGCCGCCTGCTGCCCCCGGTCGCGCCGAACGTGCGCCGACGAGTGGCGATGCCAGAGAGTGGGTGGGGGGGGAGCGGAAGGGGGGGAGGGCAGGAACCGTGCCCTCAACGCAGAATGCCTGATACGGACGGGAGTGAGGGCCAGGCCAGGGGCGGGGTATTAGAGCGGGCCCCCTCCCTCCTCCAATGTGCACGGCTCCCGCCCTCAGACCCGTCCAGGACACGATGGTTCTTTTTTTGTTGGGGGATGCAGGTCTGCGGGGACACGTCGGCGGATCGAGAGGAAACGTCAGCGAAGCTGAAAGGAACGGGCGGGAGGGGGGAGGATGTCAAATACAGTGGGGGCCCATGCCAAGAGACGCCCTGCTTACCTCCAGTTTGCCCTGGGCTTCTCGGGCTCAGATGGCTCTGCCATGGAAAGCGTACCGCTCCCGCGCCAAAAGTCGATGCACGCCCTGGGGTCTCAGGGATGGGCTTCCCGTGGAAGGCTTCTCCTGGACTGGCCTCCGCCGCAGGGCGCGGGCGCGCCCAGCTCCTGCCTTCCTCTCTGCCCTCGGTGCCTGCTGCTGGGTCCCCCCGCGGCGCTCGACCGCGGGGCTCCTCGCGCGGCCGCGCCGCGGGGAGGGAGGAGGGCCCAGACGTCCGCCGTGCTGCTTTGCTCCCACGGCGCTGCTTCCCGGAGCAGAGGCAGCGCAAGCGGCGTACAGCGGGGGCCCATGCCAGGAGACGCCCTGCCTGCCTCCAGGGTGCCCTGGGCTCCTTTCGGCGGCGAGCGAGGGGGGGGGGACTGCGAGAAGGAGAAGGCCTTCTCAGAAGGTTCGGAAGTTCCCCGGCCTTTGAGAAGTTTCCTAAGCCTTCCCCGGAGACAGAAAACACTGATCAGAAGGCGCGGGGGCTTCTGAGAAGTCCCGCCGCCTTCTGAGAAGGCCTTCTCCTTCTCATTTCCGCCCCTCGCTCGCCGCCGAGTCTTGAGTTTCCATGGGTTTGCCATGGAACGCGCGACGGTCCCGCGCCAAAAGTCAACGGACGGTCTGGGTTTCTCAGGTTTATCTTTTTGTGGAAGGTTTCGTGTGGACTAGCCTCCACTTTAAGGCGCGTGGATTAGCGACAGGTCCCGCTTCCGTGCCACATCGACGCGCTCTGTGGCCCAACCAGACGGCATGGGCCTCCTCCATCGCGATCTCGCCTTGGCGCCTGGCTTTGTCGCGAGCGAGCGGCGGCGATTCTGCTGACCACGAACTTTCTGGAAGCCCGCGGGGTCGTCTGCCTGCAGACGGCACCGCGGGCTTCCTTTGAAGACGCGCCATCCATCCATCCATCCATCCATCCATCCATCCATCCATCCATCCATCCATCCATCCATGCAACCCTCCTCCTCCTCCTCCTCTTCCTCCTCCTCCTCCTCCTCCTCCTCCTTCTCCTCCTCCTCCTCCCCCTCCACCCCCCCTCCTCCTCCTCCTCCTCCTCCCCTCCTCCTCCTCCTCCTCCTCCTCCTCCTCCTCCTCCTCCTCCTCCTCTCCTCCTCTCCTCCTCTCCTCCTCCTCCTCCTCCTCTCCTCCTCCTCCTCCTCCTCCTCCTCCTCCTCCTCCTCCTCCTCCTCCACCTCCTCCTCCTCCTCCTCCTCCCTCCTCTCCTCCTCCTCTCCTCCTCCTCCTCCTCCTCCTCCTCCTCCTCCTCCTCCTCCTCCTCCTCCTCCTCCTCCTTCCTCTCCTCCTCCTCCTCCTCCTACTCATCATCATCATCATCATCATCATCATCCTCATCCTCATCCTCATCCTCATCCTCCTCATCCTCCTCCTCCTCCTCCTCCTCCTCCTCCTCCTCCTCCTCCTCTTCCTCCTCCTCCTCCTCCTCATCCTCCTCCTCCTCCTCCTCCTCCTCCTCCTCGCCCCCCTCCTCCTCCTCCCTCCTCTTTTCTCCTCCTCCTCCTCCTCCGCCTCCTCTCCTCCTCTCCTCCTCCTCCTCCTCCGCCTCCTCCTCCTCCTCCTCCTCCTCCTCCTCCCCCTCCTTCTCCTCCCCCTCCGCCTCTTCCTCCTGCTCCTCGCCCTCCGCCTCCGGCCTCCTCCGCCTCCTCCTCCTCCTCCTCCTCCTCCTCCTCCTCCTCCTCCTCCTCCTGCGCGCGCAAAGCGGCCGCGGCACGGCGACCAGGTCGTGGCGAGCAGCCTCACGCTCGTCACCAACGGCTGCGAGGGCCTGAGGCGTCCCGGCGGGACAGCAGTGGCTCGGACGGGACCAGGACTAAGTCGGGCTCGGACGGGGCTAGTCCCTCCTTCTCCCCCTCCCCCTCCTCTCCCTACCCCTCCTCCTTCCCCCCCTCGTGCACCAGGTGGCAGGAGGGGGGCCGAAGGGGGGGAACGAGGAGGGAGGGGGGAGGAACGAGGGGGAAGGGGGGGGGGTGTACGAGGGGGTGCGAGGACTCGAGAGGGCTCTGGGCATTCCTGCCAGGATCCCAGGAGGAGGCCGTGGGTCTCGGTCTCCCTAACCCCGTTGTGCGCGCCGCCAATGGGCTAAGTCGGGCGCGTCCCCCTACAGGAGTAGTATTCAAACATCGTCAAGATAGAAGTCTGGGGACGATCTGTGGACTATGTTTGACCATTTCTGAGTATTGTTTGACTAGGTTTTATTGTTCGTCCAAAATGCGCCTGCAGGGGGACATGCCCTACCTAAGGATAGGGCGAGGATAGTCCGTGCATGAGCGTTCCAGAACGCTCCTGGAGCTCTCCAGAACGCTCTGAGAAGGCCGCGGCGCCCGAGACATCCTCCAGAGCCACGGGATCTCAAAGATTCTCGATTTATCCTCACCCGAATTTGGCATTGTCTTGGCTTCGTCTTAGAGGAGCTTGCGCTGCCCTCCGTCGTCATCCTCATCGCTCAGGGGCAGCGATAGGTGGGGGATAGGCATAGGGGGGGGAATCGACCCCCAACATCGCCCATTGATCGCCGAGAGGAGCCCTATAGCCCCAACCTGCCCATGAACGTGCGGATCCACTATCGAGGGTCCTATCGCCGATCTATCGACGATGTATCGCCGATTCCAAGTCGATGCTTCCCCCTATGCCTATCCCCCTGATCGCTGCCCCTCAACCGCCCTCATGTCGGACATAGACAGGACCCTGGGTAAGGGGAGCCAGTTAGTGACTAGTAATCCGGCCCCGAAGCCCGGAAGATTGTGCAGGATCGTTGGACCAAGGTTGCCGCAGTTGGTGCTTCTTCGGCTGACGGCTTCGCATGGGGGGGCAGTGAGAAGGAGAAGGCCTTCTCAGAAGACTCGGAAGTCCCCCGGCCTTCTGACAAGTTCTTCGAGCCTTCCCCGTAGGCACAGAACAATTTTCAGAAGGCGCGGGGGCTTTGAGAAGTCCCGTCGCCTTCTGAGAAGGCCTTCTCCTTCCCACTTCCCCCCCTCGCTCGCCTCTAAACTAGGTCCCGCGAATCCCAGTCCCACCAACGCCTGATCCTCCACCTCCTCCTTCCCAGTCTCCTCCTCACCAGATCTCTCCGACGGTGTGTGTTTGAATTTCTACTTGGCACCGCTCGGACGTTTGCATATTCGTTTCCGGCGAGGACCATCGAGGAGGATTCCGGGCCATCCTACGACGAACATTCGCGCATGGAGCCAACAAACGTGCACGGGGGAAGGGACGTCCGAGCGACGGGAAGTCAACCGGCGGGGCTGCTTCGATCTCGGCCCTCGGGGGCCTCTCATCGGGCCCGGGGGCCGTCAGACACGTGGATCCGGGACGGAGCACTGCCCGCGGGGAAGCGGTCGGGGCCTCTGTGGCCGTGGATTGGACAAGCAGTATCGGGTATCAGCTTCAAGCTCGAAGTATAAGATCGAGGTCGGTTCGGAGGGGGTGCCCTGGTGTTCTTCGTGTGTCTTCGATGTTCTAATGCGTCCTTGGGAGGGCAGCCTCGGATGTCCTGCTCGTGTTGGCCGACGGAGGGTCTCATGTCCTTGAGGGATGGTTTTGTTCTGGCCTAGGTCTGACTGTATCTGCGGATGTCAGGGTCTCTTCCCCCAGAGTCCGGCAAGGCATGGGGATACAAACCCGAGTTGTTTTGTTTGAGTGATGCTCTGTGGGAGGCTTGTGCTCAGGGGAGGCTGCAGCACCGCTCAGCGATGTGCTGTCAACCAAACCTGCAGGGTGGGCCCTTCCACTTTCTCCGTGCACTTTAGTCACCTGCTTCGGCTTCCGCTTTGGGTGCACCGCGAAGTGCCCAGCTCATTCGCGTTTGCTTTCCGCTCACGTGTCTGCCCGCACCCCCCCCAACCTCGGTCGGGAGGGCCGCCGCTGTCTCTGGGCCCTCCTCCGATCGTCGCCCTCGTCGCTGCTGGCAGCCCTGGAAGGGGTGATGTGGGAGAAGGGTTGCGGCCACTGGAGGGCCCGTATTTCATGGCATGGGGCATCAGGATGTGACCAGTCGACGGGCTAAAGGCGATGTAGGTAACGGCGATGTGGATTTCGGTAGTGCGGGAACGCGTGGATGGCGTTTTTCTACAATTCGTTGTTTCGTGTTCGCTCGATCCATTCGCAGATTGAAGATGCAGGAAAGCGTGGTTCAGTATTTCTCACAGTTTGCTTTCCAACACCACCGTTGAGCAACATCGCAATTAGCCTGGCTTGGGGTGTTCTGATAGTGGGCAGGATGAGGTGGAGCATGAGGCAGGAGTGGGGGAGGAACGTGGGGCTGGGTGGAGAGGGAGGAGGAGAAGAGTTGGGATGATGTGGGCTGGTGGGTGGCAGGGATTAGGGGGGGTCGCTGGGTGGGTCGCGTGTGGGTCGCGGGCGGGTCCTTGGCGAGGACAACAACAACAGTTGTCGTTTCAGTATTGATCGTTCTCAGTTGCTCGCGTGCCATTGAGTTTTGTATGTCTCAACTCCTTAATTCCCCCCTCTCGTCTTCAACCATTATCCCCCATATGTTCATACATATTCTTTTCACAGATCATCAGCTGTCGCAGAAGCCTTTGCGCAAATCGTATGTTGGACATCTGTGTTCAACGCATGGTCGCCATGTCTTCAATACGCGAGCATGTTTTTGACACATCATATGTATTTAGACGCGCTCGCGCGCCATTGCACATGGGCGGCAGTACGCGACCATGTCGCCACGTCGTCCGCACACGGGCGCATTTTGATGGGTGCCCCGGACGTGTTTTTAAACACCGCATGTATCAGTGTGCGCGCGCGAGAGAGAGATGCCATTATTCCTAGTATACGCACTTGTGCAATACAAGCCAGGTGTATTAGACATCCAATGTAATCAACACGTCCCTGCCTGCCACGTGTAGTCAGCGCAGCCCCTATAAGAGGGAAGGGGAGGAGGGAAGGGACGACGGGGAAAGAAAGATAGAGCACGACAAGGGTTAGCAGGAGGAGGGTAGGAGCGACAGAGCAAGCGAGACAACCAGACGGCCGTGTCGGGCGGGTCGGGTCGGGCGGGCGGGTCCAGGCGGCGAGGTAGAGCGGGCAGGTCGCTGAAGTTCCAGCCCTTCATGAATAGCGAGGAAGTATTTATCTCTTGCGGTAGCGCGATTGCCAAGCGAAATCCGCAGGATATCCAGAGCGAAAGCATGATTCTTGAGTGTGGGGGGCGCGGCGTTTCAATAAATTGGATGAAGTGCCATGCGAGAGCGCGATTCTTGGATACGTTGTGAGGACGTCCCGCGCAAGAGTTCGATTTTGAACACATTGCGAGAACGTGTCAGGGGGGAGCCGTTGATGTGGTAGTACGGGGGCCACGGGTGCAGTCTGAGCCTCACGAATTCCTCTTGTCAGACACAAGGTGCACCAGAGGGAAGGGATTCACAGTAATTATCGAAGACGCCTACGGCGAATCACCGCCGCCCCCTGCCTTTTTGGAAGCGCCTATGTGGCCGAACGTTGAGGCCAGACCTGCCAAGCTATCGGACCACGTGTTCCCCGAATCGGTTTGGAAAGCCTTCGGGGAACACGTGGGCATCTTGAAGGTCATCTTGGCCGTCTTGGAGGCCTCTTGGGCAAGCTTTGGGCGATCTTTGGGGCTTTTTGGGCCGTCTCGGGCCAGCTTCGAGCCAACTTCGGCCATCTTGGTGGGTTCCTGGCACGTCTGAAGCCGTCGGAAGCCGTTTGGGGGGCCTCTATGGGCCGACTTGGGGCCCGCTTGGAATGCTCCTGGGCCGTCTTGGAGGCCATCTTGGGCGTCTGGGAGGCCATCTTGGGCGTGTTGGAGGCCTCTTGGGCCCTCTTGGGGCCCTCTAGGGGCCATCTTGGAGGCCACTTGGGCCATCATGGGGCTCTCTTGGGGGCCTCTTGGGCGATCTTGGGGGCTTCTTGGGCCGTCTTGAGCCGTCGGAGAGCCGAAAAGGCGCAAATGCCAAAATCCTTCAAAAAACAAGGGAAAATCAATGATTTTGGCCTCTTCGGACTCTCCTGGAGGACCTCTTGGAGGCCTCTTGGGCCGTCTGGGAGGCCTCTGGGGGGCCTCTTGGGCCGTCTTGGGCCGTCTTGGACTCTCTTGGGCCGTTTTGGAGGCCGTCTTGGACCATCTCGGGCGGACTTGGAGGCCATCTTGGGCCATCTTCGCGATTTGTTGAGGATGTCCCGAGCGAAACGGCCGTTTTTGGGCATTGACAGATGGATTTTGGGAAATGCGCGGGTGGCCGGCGGGACGGGCCGAAGCCCACTGGGGAGTTCTTTTAGAAAAAGAACCAACACCAAAACCTGAATCATCCAGCACGCCGTGCACCCCTGCAAGCAGGGGGCGGCGGATCGAATGGCCTTCGGCCCATCCCGACACCGTGCCCGGGTTGTGCGTCTGAGGCCCCTTGGATGCTCGTCGGGATCGCGTCGAGGCCCCTCGGGGACCTGGAGGCAGCTTCGGGGCCTCTCGGGGGCTGTGCCGAGGCCTCGTAGGGTCTTTTTCGCGTCTCTCTGGGGCCTCGTGGGTGGCTCCTGGGGGTGGCTTCGGCCCCTCTTGGGCGCCTCTTGGGCCGAGGCCGTCTGGGGCCCACCATGAGGCGCCCGCGACCCAGCCGCTCCTCCTCCGCCTCCTCCTTCTCCTTCGTATCCTCCTCCCCCTTCTCCTCCTCCCATCCCTCCTCCTCCTCCGCCTCCTCCTCCTCCTCTTCCTCATCTGTCATCTCCTCCTCCTCCTCCTTTTCCTCATCTTCCTCCTCTTTCCCCCTACGGCGAAGGCGCCAACGGCGAATCGCCGCCGCCCCCTGCCTTTCAGGATACTTTTGCGTGGTCAAACGTTTGGGAAACGGTAAGTCACCATCTGCCTGTCTTGGAGCCCTCTGGAGCGGCCTTCGGCATCTCTGGGGATTCATTGGGCCGTCTTGAGGCGATCCAATGGGGTACGTGGGTTGCCGTGGACGTTTGTGGCAACCCCCCGATTATGTTGTTTAGACTCTCTTCGGGGCGCTCGCGGGGGACTGCTGCGTTTCTTGGGGGCGTCTGGGAAGTTTCCTGGCGGGCTTCTTAGGGCTCCCTTGGGGCCTATCGGAGGCGTCTTGGGGCCTTTTGGAGGCCACTTGAGGGCCTCATGGGGCCGACTGGAAGGTCCTGGGGGGCGATGGGTCGACGTGTCCGTTCGGGTCCCCCGTATGGGTCCCCTCTTCGCGCCGACTTGCTTTGACTGTACGTATTCAATCAAGATAATGAAGGATTTCTGCTTTTGGGGACCTCTTCGAAGCGCTCGTGGGAGCCTCTGGAGGGCATTTTTGGGACCTCTTGGCAGCTTCTTGGGGGCGTCTTGGGGCCTCCTGGGCGCCTCTTGGGGGCCTCCTGGGCGCCTCTTGGGCGCCTCCTGGGCGCCTCTTGGGCCCCCAAGGGCGCCTCCTGCAGCCTCCTTGGGGGGTTCTGTGGGCCGAGTGGCCGAGGTGTCCGTTCGGGCCCCCCTCATGGGACCCCTCTTGGAGGCGACTTGCTTATACGGCGCGCTTTCCCCACGATTCTGAATGCTTTCTGTTTTGGGGACTCTCGTCGGGGCGCTCGCGGGAAACGTTGGGGAGCACTTTTTGGGCCTCTTGTGAGCTTCTTGGGGGCCTCTGGGCATTCTCTTGGGGTCCTCTTGGGGCTTCCTGGGGACCTCTTGGAGGAGTCGTGGGGCTTCTTGGGGGCCTCTTGGAGCCTCCTGGGGATTTCTAGAAGCCGAGTGGTTCTTTATGTCCGTGAGGGTCCCCCGTCAGAGTCCCTTCTGGGAGCCGTCTTGGGGGCGCTTGGGCTGTTTTGGAGCCTTCTAGGGCCGTCTTGAAGCCCTTGAAGTCCGTTTTGAGGCCCCCTTGGAGGCCTCTTCGGCCGTCGTGCGGCAGTCTTGGAAGCCTCTTGGGCCGTCCTGGAGCGTCGGGAAACCGAACAGGCAAGAACGTCGAAATCTTTCGAACACCTGATGAACGTGAATGACTGCTGCCTCCAGGGGCTCTCTTGGGAAGCCTCTTTGGGCGTCTTGGGAGCATCTTCGGCCGTCTGGCGGCCATCTTCGGCGTGCCTCCGACCGTTTGTTCGACGACTCGAGACCCTCCTCGGCCGTCTTTGGGACTTCTCGGGGTCCGCTTAGGCGACACGCCCTAAGGGAGCGCGAGGTGGTGCGGTAGCGTCCGGGAGCGCCCGAACCGGGGGTCGGGGCCCTTCAGAAGCACAAGCCCTCTGACTCGTAGAGCTGCACGGGCCCTGGGGCACTCCCTTGCGTGTCGAAGGCACGGTGGCGGATTTCTTCTGACATGAGAATCCGACGCGACATCAACAAGAATAATCCGCACCGCGGAACCCAACTTCAGTCACGCGCCCAGGGACAGCGAATGACCGTTCGGCCCCCTCATTCTGATAACGAGCAGGACGGGGGCTGTCCCAATATAGTTAGCCTTGAGGGGGGAATACGTTGAGGACAGCTTTGGCTAAGCATAACGACGAGATTTAGGAATGAAGGAGGAGGAAAAGGAGGATGAGTAGGGGTATGGGAATGAGGGGGAGGGTGTGGGAGAGAAGGTCAGCGTATCTGCCACAACGCGCCCCAATTGAGTGCGACGGATAAGGCTTATGTGGAGGAGGAGGAGCAGGAGGAGGATGGAGGGTGAGGAGGAGGAGGAGGAGGAGGAGGAGGAGGAGGAGGAGGAGCAGGGAAGCTCCCGCCCCGCCGATCGCAAGGCGGGCCTGGGACCCCAGGGGCATCTGGCACTGCCTCCCGGCGGCCTTCCTCTTCGCGCTCTCGACGACCTTCGGGAACATGGCCTTCGCCCTCGGCGTATCGCCCTCCCTGTACGTGGTGCTGGGCAAGTTCTACACGCCCGTGGCGGCGGTCGGGGCGCGCTGGGTCATGGGGAAGTTCTACATGTGGCTCGAGTGGTTCCCCTCCCCCTCCTCCCCCTCCTCCTCCTTCTCCAGGGCAGGAGGGGCCGGGGAGGGGAGGTTGAGGAACGAGGCGGATGGGAGGGGAACGAGGGGGGGCGGGGACTCGAGAGGGCCCTGGGCGTTTCTGCCAGGATCCCAGGAGGAGGCCGTGGGTCTCTGGCTCCCTAACCCCGTTGTGTGCGCCGCCAATAGGCTTAAGTCGGGCACGTCCCTCTACAGGAGGAATATTCAAAAATCGTAACATAATCTGGGGATGCTTTTCCTAATCTGTTTGGCAATTTATTAATACGTGTTGACTAGTTTTTAGCTTTCCTCCCAAATCCGCCTGCAGGGGGTCAGCCCCGACCTAACGATAGGGAGCTGCTGTGTCCCAGCACTGGTTCCTGCCACCGGAATATCGGGGGGAGAAGGCCCCCGTCGCCACTGCTGGAAGCGGCTCGAGAAAGTGGGCAGTCTTCGATCCCGGGCCAGGGTTTGGGGACCGGTTTTGAGCTTGAGTCGGGCACGTCCCTCTACAGGAGGAACATTCATAAATAGTGCAAACATTGTCCGGGGACGATTTTTTTGAGGATTTCTGAAGATGTTTGCATACGATTTGACTTTTTAAAATTTTTCTTCTTTCGTCCAAAATCCGCCTGTAGGGGCCACGCCCGACCTAATTTTGAGCGGATTTGCCCCCGCCCCCCGTCTTGAGGAATTTCTCTTCGGGGCCCATCCCAGCGCAGTCGAACCCCCCGGCCGCTTCCACGGCGCCTCCCTCCCAACAGCCTGGCAGCTGGAGGCTCGGACATGCTCTTGATGAGCAAGTTTTCCACCACCGCTACCATGTGTAGAACGGGGGAGAAGGGAGGATGTGAAGGTCCTCCTCCTTCTCCTCTTCCTCCTCCTCCTCCTCCTCCTCCCTATCCTACCTCTATCCCTATCCTATGGGCCCCTCAGTTCTGCGCTCCTCCTCCCCTCTCGGTCAGCTCGTCTGCCGCGCCGCCGCGGCGGCAACCCCGCCGAGCGGCGCTCGAGTTGTTGCACGCCTCTGGTGGCCCAGAAGCGGCCAGCATCGAACGATCTCCGGGTTGACCCAAAACGGGGTCCAGCGACGAGGGGGTGGTGCCATAGATCTGGTGCAATAGAGTTGTAGGGTTGCGTGCAATACAGTGCAATACATTCTCTGGCGCAGTACATTTGCAACACTCTTGCCCCAAATTTATTGCACCACCCCCTTTCGGCTGGACCCCCTTCGGGTCACCCGAAGATCTGGTGATCGAGAATCGGAGAAGAAAAAGCAACACAACATAAACTTTTGGCGCTCCGCGCGGGTTTCTTTGATCCGCGCTGGGGCCTCCTCGGCGGCACCTCCGGCGCAGCCCCCGGCGCGTTCCGCGCGCCAGGGAGGGGGCCCAGCGCAGATCCAAGAAATCCGCGCGCAGCGCCAAACACTTGATGTTGATGCCGTTTTTTCTTCTTCTAGAAAAGATGCCAATCATCTAAGGCTGAACTCAGGGAAAGGTTAGAGGGGGATAGGCTTAGGGGGGATACATCGGCCCCCAATCGCCCACTCATCGCCGATAGTCGCCTGGCAGCCAACCCCGCCCAGGAATGGGTGGATTCGCTATCGGGGGCCTGTCGCCGATCTATCGGCGACGTCGCCGAGTCCAAGTCGATGGTTTCCCCCCCCTCAGCCAGGCTCCCCTATCGTTGTCCTTCACTCTACGAGGTCGGCGCATCCCACCTAAATTCCGAGCAGCGGATGGCCTGGGCATTCTCTGTGCTCTTCTTACCTCACGGCATGTTCGTATCGTGCCGTGCCGACGCGGTGGCGGCCCCGCTGAGGGCGTCCAGTGGCCCAGACTCGCCCAACGTGGAACGATCTTGCCATCGGACAGCCGCTGATCGTTCCAGGCTGCGCGGTCCGCGCGGTGCCAGAAACCAACGCCGGAGTCGCCACGACACGATCCCGCCCCACAGCTCACAGACGGGACGCCGAGACAGAGACCGCGTGGGGCTCCAGAGGGGCTCCGATCGTCCGCCGTTCCTCAGATCAAGGTCCTGAGACCCATCCGTGGCCGAGACTCGCCGTGACCGGGCAAGCCCCCTCGTTTCTTCCTTGACTTTCCTGCTGGGAGCACGCTGACTCCGCCACCCTTACCCTTCAGGGTCCATCTCGATCCGGCCAATCCGAGTCGATGTCCATTCCGGCCGGCCTGGTCCGATGGGAGTTCGACGCCCCGCGGATCCGACGCGACACGACGCTTCTCATGGCGTTGCTGTGCACCTCAGGCCGAACGAAAGGGGGGGATAGGGAAAGGGGGGGGGTACGAAATCTGCTGCATGCAGCTGGTTTCGGCCCGCCGCCAGGCCCATTCCTCGATACGTGGGCGCCTCCTGGCGCCGGGAGGCGCTGGGAAGATCAGCTACGTGAGCCGGTTCTCTACCTACCCTCTGCTATCCCCCCTTTCGTTCCCCCTGAGCCTCCTGGCACAAGCGATCCGGCTCGGTTTCGACTGCGTGCCTCAGCGGCACCGTAACGGGTATTCGCTAACGGGTACTTGCGAGATTTGCCGGAAGTTGCCACTTTAGGGCCTCTTTCTGGCATTGCAGCGTTGCCCTATCGAGGAGGGTTAGATTCGCCGGGTCACCGGCCACAGTACCCGTTAGTGTCCCCGTTGGAGGGGCCCCGAGTGCCGGAGCGGCCAGATTTTGGACGCAGGGCCCTGATTTTGCCGACCCGGTGCTGACCGATCCTGCCCTTCCCTGGCCGACGGGGTGCGTCCAGGCGCCGTCCACGAAGGCGCGAGGGCGCGAGGGCGCGAGCGCGAGGAGGAGGAGGAGGAGGAGGAGGAGGAGGAGGAGGAGGAGGAGGAGGAGGCGGAGGAGGAGGAGGAGGAGGAGGAGGAGTAATTCGGAGGAGGAGTGATTCGGAGGAGGAGGGGGAGGAGGAGGAGGAGGAGGGGGGGAGGAGGAGGAGGAGGAGGAGGAGGAGGAGGTCCGCCGCGGGCGCGAGGGCACCTCCTTTGCGGCCCGCGCCTCATGATGTTCCAACCGACGGTAGCCTTGATCACCAGAAAGAGTTTCGAGCACCTGAAAAATACCAGATCTCAAGGGTTTTCACGTGTTGGGCGTTGGGAGACACTCGTCCGACTTTGTTCGACACTCTTTCGACACTTCTCCGAGTGCTCGAAATTATGTCTGGGATGTGGTCCTTAAGTACGATGGGAGCAACATCACCCGCGCCCCGCAGCCTGGGTTTCGGGGGGCTGTCCTCCAGGGCGCTTCCTCCCTGGACCACCGGCGCCTCAAGCAGAGAGCCTTCTCTCGAGCAGTGGCGAAGCGTCCTGGTTTCTCCTAGAGGCCCACCAGGGAATGCTTTAAGAGCCTTTTGCGGTGTGCACGAACTGTTCTCAGAACACTTCTGGCCGGGACTGTCTTGTTTTAACACATCGGGCCCATGTTCTAAGAACGTTGGTTTGTTCTAAGCACAGTTTTGGGTCCTAAGACAATTTCGTGGTAGGCCCAATTAGGAATGTTGGGACGGTCGGTCTCTGTTCAATTTCCGGCTGTGCATACAGTGGATGCCCATGCCAAGAAGCACCTTGCCTGCCTCCAGGGTGCCATGGGTTTCTTGGGTTTTGATAGTTTTGCCATGAACAGCGTGACGTTCCCAGACCAAACATCGACGGTCGTTCCAGGGTCAGGTTGGGTTTGTTGAGGAAGGTTTCCTGTGGTCACCTGTGGTCGGGCCTCCACTGTAAGAGTGACCTTTCACCGGAGTGACCTCTGGCGCGGGCTTGCAGGGGCTCCCTCAGCACCGGCCTGCGCGGCTTGCTTTGGCTCTCCGCGGCCCCCTGACGCCGCTCACCAAAGGCCACTCTTGCCTAGGGTCTCCCTTGCGTGTGGGCGAGCCTCTCGCCCAGATGATGACGAGTGCACTTGCTCGGTATTTGGCCTCCCTCGGCCCCTCAGCCCCGCTGGTGGGAACAGAGGGATGGTGCACCTCCACTGTGCACCACTCGACAACTCCGTACCCACCGGTTCAAGCCGCTTCGGCTCGCTCTTGATTCGCTCACCCTGCCGCGTGAAGCGTTTCTGGCGAGCCCCGGCGATCCACTGAATTCCACCGCTGATTTCCATCCAACCCTACTGTTTGCTCGTTTTGGACACGTCCACGATGCCCTCTGCGTCAGCTCTCCCCCTGGGGGCGAAGACGGCACCCCGGCACCCGTCGTCGACTTCGTCGACATCCTGCCGCTGAAGGTGCGCCTGGCCGAGAACTCACCGAACGCGTTCCACCACCCGCAAAGTGCCTGCTCGCAGACGTCCCACAAAAAGAACAGCGCTGCTCGATGCAGTCGAGCTTGCTTGCTTCAGTGCTCTGGACCCAGGCCATCTGCGAGGAGCCACCATGCGAGTCGTGGAACGCGCTCGTCTGAGGACGGCAGCTGCATCGCCGCCAGCGACGCGAGCAGCGCCTCGCACGCCGACCTCTCCGATGCCGACGAGGACCCCGCCGGCGAGCCTCGGCTTGCAGGCGGGGCCTCTCCGCCTCCCTCCGGGGCCCGGCCCCCCGCCGGGGCGCGGCCTCGAGGCGGCCAGCGGGCAGGCAGGCGCGGCGGGCCGCCGCGCTCCCGAGGGCCCCGGGGCGGTCGCGGTCGTAAGACGCACGCCGCTCCGCAGCCGGGCCGCCGCGTTCTCGCCCCTCAGCTCGGGACGATAGAAGCGGGCACGTGGAGGAACGGCTATGCAGGGACCGGCAGCAGCTCCTGCCCCCTTTGGGGGGCAGGGCTCGCCGTCCGCGCCGCCGCGGGGGCTCCACGGGCCGCGCGCCCAACAGCGGCTGCTGTCGGTTTTGGACATTTGTTAAGCGACGCGAAAAAATGGGGGCGTCTGCGCCGACACTCTTGCAGAAGCTGCCCGGGTAAGCTCGAGCGTCAGCGCCCTCGTCTCCAGCGCAGCGTGCAGCGCGGGCGGCCCGCGCAAGCTGCGGCGTGCGGCCGCTGCGGCCTCTCGCGTGAGACCCGTTTTTGGTCGTCGCTCACTTGGTGTTGGGCATCGTACCCATTTTGTTCGTACCCGTTGCGGGCCTCCCAATCAGCAGCCAGGCGGGGGCGTTCGTCCCGAAGGGCCTCGCGCTGGCAGGGGCGTGGAGCCCCAGGCCAGGCGGCGCGGACCCGGTGGCGCCAGAGTGGACCACGGTGATGATGCGCAACATTCCCTTCTCTTACACGTGCGAATCGCTGATCGACCTGCTGGGGTCCATGGGGCTCTCGAAGTGGTTCGACTTTGTGTACGTCCCCATCAAGCGTACCGAGGAGCTCGCCCCTGGCGCGCTCCGCGCTCCAGGCAGGGGGGTCAAGCGCCGATCCGAGAAATCCGCGCGGACCTCCGAGACAGCCCGATCATGAGAGATGGCGTGCCGGCGTTCTACAGGCCCGTCCTCCTGAGGGACGGCGTGCGGGTCCCGTTCCCGCGGCCCACGAAGTCCCTGCGTGCGCTGAGGCACCACAGTTTCAAGGCGCAGTCGGGCGGGGCCTGAGCGGATCGTCGAACGCAGGCAAGATCTTGGCCGAGGCCGTCACGCCCCGTTCGGCGGGGGCGTCAGCTCCGCGACCTCTTCCTCGACTGCTCGCGCGGGCCTCGCGCCTCGCTTCCCAGCGACCGTAGTTGTAGTGCCTTGCTGGCTCGTGGGCGTTCGGGGCTAAGTTGTGAGTTGTTGTTGCAAGGCATCTCTTCACAAGCTGGTTCGGAGTTGGAGCCATGGGGCCCCGCTTCGGTCCAGATCTCGAGGCCCCCGTTCCGGGCTGGACCTCGTGCCCGGTTCTCACCGCGGCTCTCTGCAATCCCATGCGTGCCTTCTCGCGCGCGTCGGGAGCTGGCCCTCCACCAACTCCGTGGTGAGGCCGACGAGAGCCACTAGCCCTCTAGTCAGGCCGCATAGTGAGGATGGGCAACCTTCCCAATGGTACCATTGTATCCTTGCCCCTTCGGCCCGTCCTTAGCGACTCTCGCTGGCCAGCGTCGTTCGAAAAACGTTAACATGGACCTCCAAGGCCCTTACCTCCTCACCGCGCATCGTGAATGACACGGACTGACTGTATGATGGTGCCTTCCTGCAAGTTCCCCGGCAAGAGGCACGTTTCGCGAGCCGAGCGGCTGGTTCTAAGAAGCGATCTCGCAGCTGTCGAGCACACGGGAGCCAAGGGCCGCCACGAGGTTGCGAGGTTCTTGGCGGTTCGCGAGTCTCGACTCCTTGGCCTCACCCTTCTCGTCTCGCTCCTCCTCCTCGTCTCCTCTTCTCCCCTGTTGGGGGGGGGCGGCGGCGCGGGGGCGCCAAGTTGTTCGCGCGTCGCGCTTCTCGAAGCGCAGACATGGCTGCTCTTGGCAGCGGGCAGGGGGCACGAGCAGGAGCAGAGAGGGGCAGGCGGGAGGGGAGAGGCGGAGGAGCGCAGCAGGAGCAGGGGAGAGGGGCGTTGGCAGCAGCGTGAGGCGGCGGGAGGGCCACCCGGAGGTTCGCCCTGCTCATCCTCACGCTGGCGTCGTGCTGCTTCGGCTATCTGAAGGAGTCGGCCGCGCGCAGAGGGGGGCAGGGGGAGGGGGGAAGGCTCTTCAGAAGCACCCCTGCTTCTGAGACCTCGCGGGCCCTGTCTACATGTGGAAGGCCGGCGCCTTCTAAGAAGCAGCCTCCTTGTAAGAAGCCGTCCACCCCCTCCCCCCAGCCCCCCTTTATATGCGCGCCGCCAGAGGAGTTCGACGTCACGACCGGGGACCCGAACCCGGGCTCCGTGCCGGCCATGGTGCTGGTCGTCGTCTCGGTGTCTTTGTCGTGGGCGGGCTGCGCGAGGGGGGGGCGGCCTTCGGCGGAGGAGGCGCGGGGATGCCCCCGGGAGGCAGGCGGCCTCTCAGAAGCGTCAAGTCGGGCACGTCCCTCTACAGGAGGATGAGGTAAAAAGTCGTCCGGGTCCAGTTGTTTCTGTTGTTGTTTTGGACTGTTTTTCAGCATGTTTTGACTACGTTCCGCCTTTCTTCCAAACTCCGCTTGCAGGAGGACATGCCCGATCTCACAGCAGCGCCCGTGTGGCCTCCCAGCGGGAGGGGGCGCCGCAGCAGCCGGGATGGCGTGTGATGGGCCGCCTGCCCTCCCGGAAGCCCCAGTCGGCCTGCTCGGGATGCCGCGCCCCTCCTCGCGCCGCCTCCCTGTGCGTCCCGGCCTGCCTCCTGCACGTCCTCCGCCCCGCCCGCCACGCTTCGCTCCGCCTCTTTTCTTCCTCGTCCTGCTCGTCCGCCTCGGTCTTGCCATTTCTGTGGTTGATTCCCCCCCCTCATCCGTCGTCCTTCGCCCCTCCATCCCCTCTTTCCCTCCCGCTCGCCATCATGCGCCCTCGCCCTCCCTCCCTCCCATCCACCCCCTCATCCCCACATTTTCTTTAGATTGTTTGGAGCTTTGCCTCGCCTTCTCCCCCTCGTCTCTTCTCCCCGCTTCGTCCTCTCCAGCTTCCTCCCGCGCCCGGCGCAGGTCCTCTGCTCCGCGGGCACTTCCGCGCTGGCTTCCCTGGTGACGGAGAAGATCCTGAAGGCCCCGGCGCGGCTCCTTCGCCTGCTACTGGGGATCTGCCGTTTGTTGGGGGGTCAGGACAAGGTCGGCTCAATTTCGCTGATGTTCCTCCTTCGGGGTCGTATTTTTAAATCAAGAGCAATGCCTGCCCTGCCTTTTCCGGGGCAACAGTTCCTGTGCTGAACATCCGGTTTCTTTAGTTTACCATTCGCTGACCCTGATCCTGGCATTAAGTCGGGCTTGTCCCTCTACAGGAGGAATATTCAAAAATAGTCAAACAATCGTCTGGGGACGAATTTTCTGATTTTTTTATTTATTTTTCGTCGAATATCGGCCTGTAGGGGGGCACGCCTGGCCTAACCCTAGTAGTCTGACCCCCATTGGCAGGTCTCCGACGGAAGGGTTTTCTCGTAGTAGCGTTGCAGTACGGGGCTCTGATAAGTCGGCCACGCGCAGGGGGGGGGTTCTCCGAAGGGCTTAGGCGACCCGTCCTCCTCCTGCCCCTCATCCTCCTCCTCCCCCTCCCCATCCCCCTCTTCTTCCTCCTCCCTCCTCCTCCGCCTCCCTCCTCTTCCCTCCTCCATCTCCTCCTCCCCCTCCCTCCTCCTCCTCCTCTTCCTCCTCCTCCTCCTCCTCCTCCTCCTCCTCCTCCTCGGGTCGCCTACGGCCCCGGGGGAAACCGTGCAGGTATACGGTATGGGGGAGGGGCGAAGGCTCCTCAGAAACACCACTGCTTCTCAAAAGGCGCGGGCCTTGTCTGAAGATGTGCGCCTTGTAAGAAGCAGCCTCCTTCTGCGAAGCCTTCAATCAATGGACGTCCTGGGGTCTCAGGGCTTGGTTTCTTGTGGAGGGCTTCTTGTGGACTGGCCTCCGCTGTATTCCTCGGCCCTCCTCGTTACCTTTGCTCGCGTATTGTTTTCACTCCGGCCGGTGTTCTCTTCGAATTTTTCGGCTCCTGCCACGCATGCCTGGGATCGGGATGTGAACCGCCCCAAAGCGTTCCCGGACGCTCGCAGGGCATCCCAGAACGCTCGGAGGAATGATGTAGATGCGGAGGAGGATGAGAAGGAGGAGGAGAAGGAGGAGGAGGATGATGAGGAGGAGGAGGAGCGGGTGAAGGTCAGGCAATTGGAGCAGGGGGAAGGGGGTGGCTGGTGAGGCGGGTGACGTGGGAAGAGGACAAGGAAGAGGAGATGGAGAAGGGGACAGGCGAGAGGAACAGGTCGGATGATGAGCAATCATCAGGGAGTACGGGGAGGGAGGAGAACCGACCAGTGTCCTCTCTCCGAGTTCCCCTGTTTGTTTCATACGTCCCTCAAATCGATTATGTTATTGTGGGAAGTGACCAAGACAACGGCTTAAGAATCCTGAATCGTGCAGGAGCGCAACTCTTGTTATTTCAACGCCGCGAAGCAAGGCTAATGTGGTGTCCTGGCAGTCCTAAACCACGCCCAACACCGCGAATGCACGTGACTGTTGCGTCCTGACATGATTTGTGCCAGACCGTTCCTGGGACTTCAATCCTACGAATTCTTCAAATGATGACAGGATTGTACGTAAGACGAATGCGTGCGGCGCTGCGGCGACCGCCACACTTTGAAACCGACCCGCCGTCCATCCTTGAAACGGCTGTGAGCTTTTACGACGAATGTGCGCGGCGCTAACGCGAGAGCCACGTTTGGAAAGCAACGCACTCTCGAGCTTGGGGATCACACATGGATTCAAATGGTGAGGAAGTCTCATGCCAAACGCCCGGCCTAGCCGCCCCTCCTCGATTCCCGAGGTTCGAGGCTTCATGTGTGATCCGATGGTGGACGGAGGAGTAAACAAACATTTTAGCCCGCGTTGACCCCTAACGGGAGTTTGCCATACTATGTGATGCAATCTACATGGTCCAAGGTATGTGGAGCAAGGTATGTGGTGCAATCTACGTCGTGAACGCTATGCAGTGTACGCTAATAAGCTATGCGGTGCAGTCTACGGGGTGCGATCTATGGGATGCCAGGTATGTAGTGCAACCTACGTGGTGCAATCCATTTGGGGCGATGTATGCGGTGCAACCTATGTAATGCAATCCAACTTGTGCAATCCATATCTACATATACAAATACATGTGTATATATATATATATATACAGTGCAATCGATGTGGTGTGAGCTGTTCGGCGTAAGCTATGTGATGCAAACTTTGTGGGGCCAGCGTGCTCTGAGGGTCTTGTGCATTGATACCTCCACCTTCCTGTTTCTCTCGGCGTGAACAGTTATGGTCCCTCCTCTTCCTCCTGTTCCTCCACGTCCCCCTCCTCTTCCTCCTCTTCCCTCTTCTCCTCATCTTCCTCCTGCTCCTCATTCTCATCTAAGAATGTGATTCTTAGTATTATGACTACCAGTGCCTGTATGATGGATTTAATGGTTGTCAGTACTACCAAACTCTTAACATCAGTTTTCTTGTAGCATTACGACTGTCACTGCTTCGTCCACAACTACCATTATGGTTATTACGATTACTACGGTTGCGACTACTTCTACTGCTGCTGCTAAACCTGCGACTTCTGCTACTACTACTACTACTACTACTACGACTACTACTACTACTACTACTACTACTACTACTACTACTACGCATACTACTACTAGTCATACGAATGCTAATACCACCGCAAGACGACTACTACTACTACTACTACTTCTATTACTACTACTACTAGTGCTACTGCTACGACCACGACTGCGATTGCTACTACGACACATACCACTACTACTACTGTTCCTACTACTACTACTACGACGACGACTACTACTACTACTACTACTACTACTACTGCTACTACTGCCACTGCTACTGCTACTGCTACTCCTACACTACTACTACTACTACTACTACGACTACTACTATTACTACTACTACTACTGCTACTACTACTACTACTACTACTACTACTACCACTACTACTACTTCAACGAGTACTACTACTACTGCTGTAACGACGAGTTCTATTAATACTATTGCTACTACTACTACTGCTACTACTACTACGACGACTACTACTTTTCTGCTACCGCTACGGGTACTACTACCACTACTACGACTACGATTACTACTACTTCTACTACTACTACTACAAATAATACTACCACTACTACTTCTACGACTACGACCTGTTACTATTACTCTTACTCTTACTACTACTACTACTACTACTACTACTACTACTACTACTACTAACATTACTTCTACGACTACTACGTCTACGAGTACGACTACTATTACGGCTACGGCTACGACTAATGTTTTTTACGACTAGTTTTACTACGACGACGCTTGTTCTTATTTTTACGACGAGTTATACAATGACATAGTTTATTGCCACGGTTACTACCACTACTACTACTGCTGCTGCTACTACTACTCCTGCTACTACTACTACTACTACTTCTACGCCTACGAGCGCGACTACTATGTCGATTGCTACTACTACTTTTACTATTACTACTACTACTACTAGAACGAAAACGATTGCAACTATTTCGGCTACTACGATGACTACCATTACTACTACTACTACTACTACTACTACTACTACTACTACTACTACTACTTCAACGAGTACTACTACTACTGCTGTAACGACGAGTTCTATTAATACTACTGCTACTACTACTACTGCTACTACTACTACGACGACTACTACTTTTCTGCTACCGCTACGGGTACTACTACCACTACTACGACTACGGTTACTACTACTTCTACTACTACTACAAATAATACTACCACTACTACTTCTACGACTACGACCTGTTACTATTACTCTTACTCTTACTACTACTACTACTACTACTACTACTACTGCTACGTACTACTACTACTACTATTACGTCGGTGGCGACGGCTACTATTACTATTACCACTATTCCTACTACGATTCTCACTACTACGGCTACTCATACGACGGCGACGGCTACTACTACCAGTACGGCTGCCTTGGCCATTACTATTCATATTGCTACCCCTTCCATTTTTTTACGACTGCCACTACTACTACGTCTATTGCTTCTACTACCGCTACGATTACGGCTACTGCGACTACCATCATTATTGCCATTACTAGCATTGCGTGTATTACCATTACTACTACTACTACTACTACTACTACTACTACTACTACTAGTACTAGTACTAGTACTACTACTACTACTACTACTACTACTACTACTACTACTATTACTACTACTACTACTACTACTACTACTACTACTAGCACTCCCCTTGCTACTTCTACTGCTACCTACGACTACTACCATCTACTGACGAGTACGACTAGTACTAGTGCTGCCCTTACTTCTGCTACGACCTACCTTCGACAATTATTATTAGCACGGCTTCCAGTACGACTACGATTTTACGGCTACTACTACGACTACCACTACCATTGTTTTTCTTATTGCTGTTGCTGCTCCGAGTACTGCTGCTACTACTAACACGACTGCATCTGTTGCGACTACGAGTGCTACTCTTATAGTTTTGTTGCGGTCGCTACGACGACTACTACTACTAGTACAACTACTACTAGTTCTTCTTCTACTCCTACTACGAGTAGTTTCGCTGCTACTACGCCTGCTACTGCTTCTGCCACTGCTACTGGTGCAACTACTACTTCTATGACTCCTACTACTAGTTCTACTGCCACGACTAGTACTCATAGCGCCCTTGTGGCTGCTACTATTACTACCACTAGTACTACTACTACTAGTACTACTACTACTACGGCTACTACTACTACTTCTTCTTCTTCTACTGCTACTACTACTACTACTACTACTACTTCTACTACTACCACTACTGCTACTACTACTTCTACCAGTACTACTATTACCACTTTCACCACTACTGCCTAGTAGTGAGAGCACTGCTACGATTGTTTCGACGACTACAGGCAAGACGAAGGGATGAAGGACGAAGAGGCCCTCGTGGTCGTTATGGTAGTAGCGTCGTCGGCGTTTTCGTCGTCGCCGTAGAGATTATTGCCCCTCTATTTTCGTGCGGGCTGGATAATGTTAGGGTTTTTTTCCTCCAGGGGCAATCCGTTGTGGGCTACCCTGCACGCCAGAGGATATGTGAGCATCTTCGCATTAGGATTGCAATCGGACTCATTGGCTGTGGTTTCAGTCGTGATTGTGGGCGTGGTTACAATCATGATCAGAATCGCCAGTTAGTCGCGCTTGCAGTCGTAATCGAAGGCGTGGTTGTAGTCGTAACCGTAGTCGCTTAGTCGTAGTCGTAAGTGTCGTTGTCGCCCTATTGCTGGTTGGGCTGGGTAATGATGGGGTGGGGCCTGTTCTCCCAAGGAAGAATGCTCCCTGGGCAACCTTGCGCGACAGACGCTTTTTGAGCACGTTTCTGAGAGTATGGCAATATAGATCGACACATTATTCGCCGAAGGCGTTTCTCACAGTCTCTTGTTTCATCTCGTCGTCGTCGTCGTCGTTGTGCGGCGGGCGCCGCGACTTATCCATCAGTTTCCGTCACTG